TCCATACCACAAAAAACTATATTGGAACTGGCGTATAAGTTCTTTTATACGATGATGAAGTGGGGTGATCATCACAGATTTTTTGTATGAATTCAAAAATAGGGTTAGATAACAAAAGTAGTGTTTCAGACAGGGCTCGACGAAGGACCTTTGCTCGAATTCCTTTTAATCTGCATAGCTTTATGATATTGTCTCTTTTAAAATACCGATTGTTGTTCTCTTCTTATCAAGAGTAAAAGAGCTGGAACTTTCAAATCTTGAAAAAATGCAACAAAAACAGAAAGAAATGGAGATGATTAACAAGAAGAAAGAGAAAATGTTGCAAACTGCTTTGAAACAACGGTAAGGAAGAAAATTTTGTCATTGGGGGATTACCTCCACGGAAGGAAATTGGAAGTTAACCCCCCCCCCCCCCCTTCGGATGTCCTAATACACCTACCATTATCAGAAAGAAAAGTTTCTCCCCTCTACCTCTGGATGGCAGAAATTTCTTCCTTGGGGGAGTATGGATCTTTTCTGGAACGACACATTGTTAAATTTTGTTAGGGTCGAGGAAAATGCAAACTAATCTGTCATGCTCACTAGCGGCACCGCATGGCATAAGGGGAGACCACATACCTCACATTTTTAACACTTTCACAGAAAAGTAATTGTTTTCATGAGAGAGACCGTTTCTGGCCAGTTACCAAACATTTGGAGTAGTTATGAGGCAAAATTGCTACTTAAGAAAAATCATGCCAAAACTTTAAGTACTGTGATATACTTAGACAAGAGAGGCTATGTAATATATGTGGAAAAAATATACTCCAACATTAATTTGTGTTGTATGTATGTATGTAAAACTTTATTTCAATACGTATGTCCTTTGTATGTCCTTTAATTTTCCAGTTAATTTGTATGTCCTTTAATTTTCCAGTTATGCCAAAACGAAAAAGGAAACAGAGACTTTGAAACTGGTGCAAAAAGAACTTGGTCGTCTAGATAATTTACTTTACACCGATGTTCAAATTTTGAGAGACAAGATCGACCTTGCATGCCGGGAATTTGATGCTGCAAGGTAAATATTAATAATAATAATTTTACAAGTCTGATCATGTTATTGAACCTCTAGAAAGAACAGTTTTGAACTGGTAGTATAAACACTGGACTTATAAAACACTAGGGGATTTTCTAATTAAAAAAATATTTATTTTCAGAAAACGGTATGACAGGGCAGAAGCAGAATTTATCAATGCTAAAGTTAGTCTTCACGACAAAACCGAAATAAAAGATCAACTTACGGGACATTTGTGCTCCATTATCCAACAAAATGAGGAAAGAAAAGCCAAGAAACTAGCCGAACTTATGACGAGACTTGAGCTAGCTGACCAGGAAACGAACTTAGAAACAGACGAAAGTATTTCTGAAGATTTGAAGGAAAAGACTTTGCCTCCGTGCACAGAAACTGAGTCTAGTAATGGCACATCAATGGAACAGCAAACTGTTGTTAAAAAAGTTAGCGAAACGTTATCAGAATCTGACAAAAAGTCAAATGAACCTGAGGAAAAAAGTTTGAAACAAGACTCTCAGATTCAGAGTAATAATAATGGGAAATGTGAACAAGAACAAAAAACTGTTGAAAAGAGTGAACCTGATTTAGTTGAAGTTAAAGAAGCGAGCGTTGAAAAGACATGAAATGTCAGTAATAGGTGGAAAATATTACGAAATGCTGCGCCATAATATATGCACATTTTAATAAGTACTAGTGTATAGCAGATTTGTCAACGAGCAGTTAAAGTGCGACTAACCCCAAATATGTTTTTTTTGTATTTGTAATATTTGGGTCATTCTATGAAGAAATGTAATGAATGTTTATAGTAAGAAACCTCAACTTGATCTACTTGTTCGCTGTCAAAGTTTCCAGATATGATGTCATTAGGTGATTTTTTTGTACAAAAAACAAAGGAAAACTAATTTGCAATTCACCTAATGACATCAAATCCGGAAACTTTGGCAGTGGAAAAATTGATCAAGATGGGATTTTTTATTATAAAGATATATTACATTTCTTCTTCGAATGACCCAAGTATTACACATACAAAAAAAATTATATTTGGGGTTAGTTACAGCATTAGAGTTAAGCCTTGGTCAAAGCTGCTGTTTTAGTTTATGTATTTCTTGTTTACAGCTATTTCAATTAAGGTTGTCTCCGAGCAATGCGGACGAATGCGGAAAAGTCGAATACGAGCGCGAAAGGCTGCTGGGAATCGCTAAAAAAAAATTAATTTTTAGCGATTCCCAGCAGCCTTTCGCGTTCGTATTCGACTTTTCTGCTTTGCTGGGGGACAACCTTGATTGAAATAGCTGTATGTAAATTTCAGAGAAGAAAACCGCTACTGATCCAGATGATATTTCTGAAGAAATATTTCCAAATTTATAAACAGACTGTTAGGAAGTTTGCTTTGAATTTTAGGTTAACCTAGGGTTGAACTAATCGATTCTCGAACAACCCGACCCTGGGCCACCACTGTTATGGACTCTCGTGCATGCACTTTCAAATTTTGATGAGAGTTGATGAGAGTTTTTGCTCGTTTGACTCATCATTTTCAATCCTCGCTTGACCAAGAATTTAAAAAACGACGTTAATTACTTTCATTACATCAACTAGGAGTTTTCAGACAAATTGTATTGACCGTGAAAGAGTTGTTCAAGATGAGGTTTTTTTACTATAAAGACATACTACATTTCTTCTTAGAGTGACCCAAATATCACCGATATACCATAAATATTTGGTTACTATTGGCACTGGAATATCTTGCCAATGAATGATTTAAAATAAACAAATTATTTATTGTGAAGTTGTGATGGAATTTTGGTAAAATATGTCCGAATTATATCTGTCTGTGGTCGACGGTTATTGAACAATTTGGGCAGATGTTTGGAGGGGAAAATCTGTGATGTTTTGGCAGAGTAAGACTGACTGGAAGCACTCTAACGCCCATATTCTAAAAGCACACTCAACGAGTGGAGGTTCAATCTGAGCTTCTCTTGAGTGTCAATGCCGTTTTTAAATAGCTGGAGGGTGAGTAGTCACATAGTAAGGTACGACACTAACCCTCCAGCTATTCAAAACGGCACTGACACTCAAGAGAAGCTCAGATTGAACCTCCACTCATTGAGTACGAGTGTGAGTAAGCTTTTAGAATACGGGACTTACATTACACAACGTTTGCCTAAAACTGTCGCATGCAACCTGTTTACAACTTGAATTGTACTGTGTAAATCAAGTACATAACTCGTCTACGACAATGTCAATGTAGGTGAGTTGTGTGTTTGATTTACACAGTGTAATTCAAGTTGTAACAGGTTGCATGCGATAGTTTTAGGCAAACGTTGTGTAGTGTAAATCTGGCTTTAGTAAATCAGCTGAAATAAACACTTTATGATCAAGTTTTCAAATGACTTTGTTAAGAAAAACGTTGTAATATAAGCTTAGAATGTTGATTAATCGTCCTTTCTGCAATCATTTGCTTCAAATTTTGCTATAGTATGTGAAGGAAAAACTAGATGACAAGTGAATTTAATTCCGGGCAAGGAATATGATTTTCATGCATAACTTGCCCTAACAGCAGAGGCGGGGCCTCGAAAGCTGTTATTTTATGAGCGATCTCATGTGTTCAAAAATGGCTTTAATAACGCCTTATTAGGCAGCATGCTGCCCACGAAATTATAAATTCTGAATAATCGTTTTGTGTCGCTCAGTAGATTTATATTCCCACAGGGATTTAAACCAATCTAAGCGACGGAGGTTTGACCAATCAGAGAGATTCGTTTATGAATAGCCACCAGTCGGAAGCCTGCATTCCAATGCTAATTGCATTCCGGACCAAAGCGCATGGAAATCATATTCAAATTTAGGGCGGTTCGAACCACATATATTTCGCACGTTGCCTCGTGTATTTTAGTTGAAGCTCTCGTCTGCTGGTGTAAAGAAGTACTTTCAAGATCCAAATACGATGCTGAAAAACCTCGAAGAAGCACAAATTCAGAGTTAAAGACAGGACTATGGTATGTTTTATCTATTTTATGTGAAATATTCGTATCTGGGCGAGTGGAAGTGTTCGAAATTACATGCCGAAGTTGGCGACTGCAAGTCGCTTCGCCTTCGTCTTTCGTTTTGTCTTAGCACGAAGACGATGAGTTTAAGCCTTGTTTTTATCATCTTTCGTTTAAATTAGTTGGGAAATGTTTCGCTAGAGTATTCGGGGTGATTTGTAGCTAATTTTGCTTTGAAATTTGTCGTTTTAGAGTGGAGAAGCGCAAGAAATGTTGAATTCTCAACCCGTGTTCAATGGTCAAGCCAGGCAAACTCTCGCTGTCTTGCCCGAACATGTATTTAAAGCGAAATGAGACAAGGAAATGTTGAAATCTCCATCTCAAGTGAAGCTCCAATACTAACTTAGGTATGTACAATTGTATTTTACGTAAAATTTTCATATTTCAGCGAGTGAACGTGTCTGAAATTATTCGTCGAACTTGACCGCGTGTCGTTTTGGCTATACGACTTATACGGGGCGTATACTGTATAATAAGGACATCGAATTTAGCCATGGTTTTTCTTATCTTTACTTTTAAATGAGTAGAGAAATGGTTTGTTAAAGTATTCTGTGTGTTTTAAAGCTAAAATTGTTTTAAAATTTATCGTTTTCAGTGAAAAGTTGGCCAAATTCTCAACCTGTCGTTTAATGGCCGCACGTCAAGCAAAATCGCTGTCTTGCCTGAAGTCTAAAGTAAAAATTAAACAAGAAATACTTCAGGAGCGAGCCAAAGATTTAAATAAGGTATGTATTTCTATTTAAAGATTTTACTTTATTCTAAAATGTTCGTATTCCAAGCAGTAAAAGCATATATTATCGAAAGTGACGAGCTCATGCAAGTCGCTTTGCCTTTTTAAAGGCGTGGTGTCATATTAGAGTTAAATGCTAATATGCTATCCTGCCATATAAATGCACTGAATTTAGCCCATAGCTTTGCGTCGTCTTCAGTTTTAATTCAGTAGTGCAGAAACGTTTTAATAAAGTTCATTCAAGTTGTTCTGTAGATGAATTTATTTTAAAATTTGTCGTTTTAGTGCTGAGAACAAGAAATGTTGAATTCTTAATAACGTCGTGGGAATCTCGCCAATTTTAACCCCCACAAGACGTAACGGACGAGACGCTGAGTTGCTGAAGATGAAAGTTGTGTCGCTGGAAAACCCAATGTACCCCAACACTGCGGTAGGCAGTCAAGTGTTTTTAAACCTGCACATTTTTTTTTTATTGCCCGTATTTTTTATTTTATGTTCATGTATAACAGGACTCATGACATTTAAAGCTGGAAGGAGTTGAGAAAGCCCCACTCGACTGCATGCCTTCCGTATATTTAATTAAATTAGACCCCGTTTTACATGGTACCATTTTACCACTGAGAATTGCAGTATATATCGAGATTTGACTGAGCCGTTACTTTCAACTATATATTTGAAATGCTCAAATTCAAACACCACAACGGCAACACGTTGAGTATAGAGCCCAACTATATGTTCAAGGCTCCCGAGTATAAGTAGTTTCGTAAGTATAAAAATAGGTACGCATGGCGTACGTGTGGCAAGCATGATGATCGCACGCATGGGCAAGTGGCATTGTGACTTTATTATTTTTCCAAGGTCTCTGGGAGACTTCCAGTCATTCATCATGAGCAACAGTACATGTAAAAAGAAAGGCGCCTCTTCTTGCGCGTACTGTTTGTCCGTGTTTGGGTGGCTGGAAGTGTTGCAGGTATCTTGGGATATCTGATAAAGTTGTGATGTTATTTCAACGCTGTTTCTATAAAGGGCAGCTTGCTATTGCTATACGCTTTAGCCTAAAAAAATATTCGGTTATTTTCAACTAAAATGATTACTGTTCGTTGCTGTTCCTATACTGGGCAGCTTGCTATTGCTATATGCCTTAGCCAATGAATAAAAGTACAGTTTATTATATTACGTGCCATGTCTAAGGATGGCATCAACTGTACTTAATATTTTTCGACATAATAAATTGATTTAACAGCGGTTTATATACGAGACGGCTATTGCTATCACTATATGTTCAGCTAATAAAATAGACAGTACAGTTTACTGATAAGATGTCATTCCTATAAGGGTGACATCTAGTACAATATTGCAATAATTTCTCAATGCTGCTTCTATAAAGGGAAGCGATTGCTTTTGCTATTCGCTTAAGCCATAAATATAACCCAGATTGTGGTTCGTTAAGATGCCATTTCTATAGAAGGGTGGTAATTATTGCAAGGTTTTCCAATGCTTTATGCTGTTTCCATGAAGAGCAGCGATTGCTTTTGCTATATGCTTAAGCTTTTAAAAACCCATGCTGTGGTTTGTTAAGATGCTATTTCTACAAGGAAGACGTCTTGCTATGATTATTCATGTCGAGCTGGTTATATAAAGGGCAGCGATTGCTTTTGCTATACGCTTAAGCCATAACCCAGACTTTGGTTTGCTAGGATGCCATTTCTATATAAGGGTGGTATCTGTTGCAAGGTTTTCCAATGCTGTTTCCATGAAGAGCAGCGATTGCTTTTGCTATATGCTCAAGCTTTTAAAAACCCAGGCTTCAGTTTGTTAAGATGCCATTTCTATAAGGATGACATCTCTTACCATATTGCAATATTTCTTCAATGCTGCATTTCTCGAAAGGCCAGCACACGCTTTCGCTATATGCTTAAGCCTTCGCAACAGACCAGACTGCAGTTTGTTAAGATGCCATTTCTATAAAGAAGACTTCTTACTATGATTGCAATATTACTTTATGTAGTGCTGTTTCTATAAAGGCAGCGCTTGCTTTTGCTATACCCTTAAGCCATAAAAGAAACCCAGACTGCAGTGTTAATTTTTTATGCCATTTCTGTAAGGCTAGCATCTACTGCAAGGTTTTCCAATCCTGTTTCCTTGAAGAGCAGCGATTGCTTTTGCCACATGCTTAAGCTTTTAAAACCCAAGATTTCTATGCTGTCTGTGAAGATGCAATTTCTATAAGGATGGCATATCAGTTACTAGACTTACTATATATTGCCGCAATAGTTTTCCAGTGCTGTTTCTATAAAGGGCAGCGATTGCTTTTGCTATATGCTCAAGCCATAAAAAGCCCAGACGGCAGTTAGTTAAGATGTCATTTCTATATACTGCTGGCATATATCGCAAGGTTTTTTATTGCTGTTTCCTTGAAGGGCAGCCCATGCTTTCGCTATAATGCTTAAGCCTTGAAAAAACAGACTGCAGTTTAAGATGTCATTTCTATAAGGATGACATCTTACTATGATTGCAATTATATTATTTCATTGCTGTTTCTATGAAGGGCAGTGATTGCTTCCGCTGCATGCTTAAGCTTTCGAATAGAATGTGCAGTTTCTTGATAAAACTACTAAGTTTCACTTGCCACTATGTGCGTTTCAGTTGCTACTTTTGGCAGATCCTAAAGGGTCAATGCAATTGCCCTAACACTATACTGAAAAAGTACATAGTGTTTCCAAACTACGACCCGGTGATCAACGTTGCTATTGTGGTAAAATGGTGCCTTGTAAGCGGGGAGTATCGCACTAGGATTCATATATTACAGTATCTCAAGTGCATTAGGTCTCTTTAGGGTTGATTAGGAACACCATGAGCGAGTGAGATAAACTCGACTAGCTTAGGGTAAGGCGTCAAGCGTGAAATCACGCACTAGAGACCCCTCGGAATCGGACCCCAAACCTTTTTTCAACACACGACGTGAAATTTCCCCACCTGACCACCTCGTTGACGAATAATGGTGGGTATCTTGGGCAAATGTGCAATACTATGAGGGATATCTTGGGCAAATGTGCAATACTACGAGGGATATCTTGGGCAAATGTGCAATACTACGAGGGATATCTTGGGCAAATGTGCAATACTATGAGGGATATCTTGGGCAAATGTGCAATATACTCCAAAAACTGGTATGATTACGTTCATTACTTGAGGAAGATGTCGCAAGGTTAGTGGACATTTTTAATAGTAGCGGCAAAATGGGGGGTCCGAACCCTACGGAACTAAGTATAAGGCCGCAAATGAGCGGAAACAACATGGCGTATACCAATATAGAGATTTAACAATATGGCGATTCATAACAATATGGCGAAATTCGACATGTAAAAATGATGCGCGCTAAAAATGCAAAAATTGTGGCATAAACATGTTGCGGAACATACTACTTCTAAAACTACATGCTAAGTTGATAAAAAATATTTTTTAGGCATGACTTTAGAAATTTTATTTTTTATTTTATTTATTATTTTCTATAAATGGGGGGCCCGGATAGTCTAATAATGTACAACATAGCTAAGTTGTATTTTATTGTCTAATAATGTACAATATAGCTAAGTTGTATTGTTAAATATAAAATGATATAGCGTTGCTGTGTAATATATTGTCGTAACACAATCGGTTTTGTAAAATAGTTGGACAATAGACATATTTCTGTAATATAATCTAAATTGTTCACTTTTATGATACATGTAAAATGTGTGTTTCATTAACACATGTTAACTCTTTGTAAAACAATTAATATTACTTTTTGTAATATATGACGTACATCATTGAATTCTATGTAACATCGATGTAATACGAGATTATTAATGTAAAACATTCAGAATGACGAGAGTATTTTTGTAATATATCCTAATAAATATTGAATATTATGTGGCTCAAATCTTAAAAAAAAAAATAAAAAAATAAGTGTCCGTGAACGGGATTGAATCGAGTACTGCATGTTTCTGTTAAATTTCCGAAAGACGGAGCTATTCAACCCAGCAAAAGGTTATGAAATTTATTGAAAGGTATCGACGAGTTCACAAATGCATTATAAAAAACACCCAGTTTAATTAAGTTTCTTGGGTAATTTAACCACAATCCTGGTGAATTTAATTCTATCATGCCTAAATCTAACCAGGACTTTCGGAGTTTTGGTTAATCTATAACCAGGCTGCATTAACCAGATTATGTTGGTAGACTACCATTCCCTTTTGCTACATCTAGAAACTCGAGAACTTATAGCAGTACTTGTTCATCTCTGGGTTAAATTCCTAGAACACTTTCCCATAAAAGGGGAACGATCAAGATCTGAGCCATATGTATAATCTCGATGGTAATGTGTTTCCCGAGCTATGAAATACTTAATAAAATTGGTTAACAATACTTGCTTTCAGTCCACATTCAGTGTCTACTTTGGATGAACCACATGAACGCAAGCACTTAATTTTTCATTTATTTTCAGCCACTTTTCGATTTGTGAACTAAAAAAGCAAAGTGGAGGGTAACCCCTTTAACTTTGTATCCATTTTAGCCACTTATCTCTGTCCAGAAAAGGGGATAAAACAATATAAAGCAAATGTTAACCCTTAATGAAGGGGTAGTCTCACTATAGGAATAAGCTACAATACAGAATGGGCAGTTAGTTCAACCAGGCAAACATACACTAAATTCAGAGTTTGCATGTTCTGCAACCAGCAATACATGCAGAGTTTAAGTTCGACTTCCGATATCAATGCCGATATCGATGTGTCTTCACTCCGTTCTCATTTTGGTACCGGGAATTTTAAAGCATCAAGTTATCACGACAGATAAAGTTAGAACACATTGTCACCGAAAATGTGCACGTGTCTTATACTAAACGGCAGCTGAGCTAAAATTCCGACTAAAACATTACTCGGGCGATGCTAATCAACAAATAGTTTACGGGTTTATCGTTAAAATTATGAAATCCCGATTCATATGACTTCCAAAACTGAAGGCCGATTTCGGTAGTGGTGACTTACAATACCCTAGCCTGTGTAGCAGTCGCTTTATTTTATTGTAGGTTTTGAGGATTTTTGTATAAATGGCGAGTTAGAAAAATGACGAAGAAAAAAAAAAGGGCGAGAAAAAACTGGTTCTCGTGCTTCTTGCGAACAGAGCGCATGACTGTTGTTAGTGTTGGTATTGGAAGTCGAACTTAAACTCTCTAATTTGAGGCAAATGACCTACCGTATACTCTCTACGAATTCACGCTGTGCAGCCTCGCGTAATATAATTTACTATTTGATGTAGAAGCCCAATTTCAACGCATCGATGATACGCAAATTATACGAAAAACAATATTCACTGCTCATTTTTCAAAATGTGTAATTTTAGAATATAAAATAGAGCGTTCTTAAAATGAGAATTTGCTACCTTCGGAATACTTATAAAATCTCCCCCAAAATGGAAGAAATGGCACTCTAGAAACGTAGCTCAGATTTCAAAATTACGTAAAAGGTGGTCTGAGTACGTTCTACCACCAGTGTAAATGAGCACTTCTGAATTAATTTTACTTAAATGGTAAACACATCCTCTGAAGTGTGTGCAACTGAAAAACCTGCATCACACAAAAAGGCATTGGTGTCTTTAACCGGGGATGTCACTGATCGCGATTAATTCGGCAACCTCGTGACCTAATTAAGCAACTGAACTATTACAAAACTTCATTGGAAAATATTTACACTCTTTTTCACTACTTTATTAAAGGACATTGGCAATAAAAAATTAGTTTAGTTCATTTGAAAGAACTCTTACAACTATATATTAAACTCTATTACAGATTGTTTATATCTTGCTTAGTTTTCAAAATATTTCGAACGAAAAAAGCGGGCTGTTCGCCATCTTGGATTATTGAGGATATGCATGTTACGTCAAGAGAGGGGTCACGCTAATTTTTTATCTTGAGAGTAAGCGATCAATAGATGGGTCCAAAACTTTGTTTCTGGTAGCTGTCTGAAATTTAGAAATGATCAAAAACATTTCAAACAATCAGTTTGGATTGTTACTCGGTCATTTTAGAGTATAGTTTTATATGGTAACCCAACTCCTGACATCATCAAAACCATAGTTAATGAGGTCAAGAATTAGTCCAAGATGACGCACAGCTCATTAATTTCGGTCTAAATATTTCGAGAACTAAGCAAGATATGACAAACTAATTTATTGCCAATGACCTATAACTCTGAGATTTCATAAATCTATATATATATATTGGATGAAATAATTGTGTTTTAGCCAATGTTATCGGTAGCTTAATTAAAATCGAAATCACTTCCGGTTTTATTCCCCGAACTTTCATTCTCCGACTTGTCCTCTCCAGACCCCGCGCTTCCCTCGTCGTCATCACTGTCTCTGCCTTCGTCCCTAGCCTCGTCCGCTGATCCCTCGCCACTCCCAGATCCTGATCCCGAAGCATCCCCTGACGATCCCGATGACTCGCCGGACCCCGAGCCTGAAGATTCGCCTACAAGATAAATTATAATTTCTTGGTAGCAACTACATTAACTATATGACGCGCCCTGAGACTCCACAGCGAAATATGAAATTTATGTATCATGTATAAACTAAATACAAAAGACAATTAGGCATTCGGTTTTCTTTGCCCGGCAAAACAGACAACCTTTTGCTAATTTCTCATGATGCATAAAATTTAACCAAAAATTTTGATCTATTTGTCCTTGGGCAATGTCCATTTAAGTTGGAGTAATACGAGCAACAGAATTGCTGCAACTTGCAACAAAATCTGATTTCAACGTATGTTAAGTAAAAATGTTGACATATGTTGCCTCGTGATTTGTAATGTATGTGTGAACATTTTCAATTAACATGCGTTGAAATCAGATTTTGTTGCAAGTTGCAGCAATTTTGTTGCTCGTATTACTCCACCTTTAGTCTCGCAAATTTTTGTAATAATACGTTTGATAATGCTCGAGTTACCGTGCGGACAACACACAGACACACAGGGTATTGCAGTTTATGTGGTATCGTAGTACAAAACAGAAAGCTTTGCAGTTTATACTAATAAACCACAAATGTTTAAAATGCTCTCAGTTCAGTTACGTTTATATTAAAGTCAAGCTGTTAACTTAGAAACCATTCGGGCAAATGCTAGAAAAATGAATACAAAATTCTACATTTTTGGCTAATGTAATCACAAAATATGTTAAATTCCGTGTCATTTCATTACAATATTCCACAAACATTCGGGCAAACTTTTAAGCCGTGCATTCCTCGCTGAAAAGCATAGGCGTACCGGGCGGGGGGGGGGCGGTAGCCCCCCCCAGTTTTTTGGGCAGTCGGGCAATATTCGATCAACAGTCGGGCAATTTCGGTTTGCAATAAAAAAAAAAATGGGACAAATTCTGTCAATTTTGTGTAAAATTAAGTCAATTTTTTGGCAAATTTTGTGATTTTTCGAAAATTTGTGGTATGTTCCGGGGGGGGGAGGTCGCCAAAATAATTTTTCCGGAAAAATTTTTTTGGTACTAGTCGGGCAGAATCCCGAAAAGTCGGGCAATTTTCTTTCCGCCCCCCTAATTTTTTCCTTCCGGTACGCCCATGCTGAAAAGTATCAGGCCCGTACGCTTATACGTGTTTTATATCTACCAGCATCGATCTGAGCAAGAACTATTAGACTGCATTACCTCATCATCAAGCTATTTTCCCAGCTCGAATTTAAACGCATTATTTTACTATAAAGTACGGATTCGAAGTCTTCACTCCAGTTATATAATTCTATATAAAGCTCAAATAGTAACGCACATGCGCACATCGCGAAACTTTCCGACATTCTTACCATCGCATTCCTTATACACGGAACAACTTCGTCGACCAGTCCCCTCCTCTGGATTGCATGGTTTTCCACCATACTTAGGCTTAGGATTGTCGCATTTTCGTTTACGGTAATTCCATCCTATATCACATGTGACCGAACAGCTCGCCCAAGATCCCCATTCGCCCCAATCCCCGTCGACTAAACGGAAGAGATGATGCAATGAATGCAATCAAAGATGTATGAATAAATTGCATACCTTTCAAAATTTTACATTGCCGGATATAGCTTGCGTAGCGCCACAAAAATCGGTACCTGGCTTGTGTTCCGATATAAAATGATGTAATCGTATAAATTTCTACATCAAAGCTCATCAAAGCGGTAGCAATCGTTCTAGGTGGTAGCCGAATCTTTCCAAGTGGTAGGAATCTTTATAAGTTTCAATTCGTGATTATTCTAACCTTATTTACGGGTATAGCTTACTCACTCCTTCAAATTGATGTCTGCAATATTTTTGGTAAATATGGCGAAGTCATAGAAAAGCTTGGGCGGAATCCTGTTTACACTTGGGGGTCGTAATCGTAACGTTTCGGCAAACGAAGCAAAAACCTATCCGATATAATGTAAATGAAGCCATTGTCTTCCGAGACATTTTCTGGAAAGTCAGTAAACTTCAAAGCGGCTATATAATGAGCTGTGTGTTTATGTTGAGCCGTACCCCTTACACCGTGCATATCCTTTGTTTTAGGTTTATTAATATTTAAATAGCATGGTTGAATGACTGACTGAAACGTTGCTATTGGATGATTCGCTCATTATACTGAAATGTAATGTGTTTATTGACCGTACACCGTGCACAAAACTGCATAAACGCGAACAAAAAGATAGAACAAAGACTTTAGCGGAGTGTGCAAATCATGTTTTGAAAGACTATGATGTAGCCTAACAAAATAAAGGTTAATTTGAGTTTTTGAACTATGTTTTAATTTAAATAGAATACATCGTACATGATAGTGTTGGGAAAGCATATTAAGAGCAGCTAACCAAGGGTCACGTGCAGCCAAGTCTAATGATTATATTTACATACTTGGACAATGTTCTGTTTCCATACAGTCCTGTTTGTCCTCTCTAGCGCCCTTGCAGTCTCGTCCACCAAACTGAGGCTTGGGATTGGTGCAACTGCGGAATCGTAGTTGAAGACCTTCGCCGCATGTCTCAGAACACATAGTCCAGTTTCCCCAATCAGACCAACCGCCATGGACTGCAATAAAAATATACAAGACACACGTTAAAACGCACAAATATGTACATGTTATACAAGCTATATGTATTCTCATTCGAAATTCCCATATAAAAACCCTTTCATGTCATGTAGCTTGTCCATCGAATGAGATAAGTATATATACAATGAACTTGTTGTTAGAGTTCGACAACTGACTTATCTCAGTTGGTTAGGGAGCGGTCATTATTTATGGTGGGGGGTGGCACCAAAGAGAAAATGGTTGGGTAAACAAAATTTTGAGTTAGTAAAAGGTTGGGTAAATGAAAAACAAAAAAACTCAAGGGTTGGGTAAGAAAAAAATGTTGTCACTTCCAAAGCATGTCTTACTAAAATATTGAAGTCTAGAAAGCAATGTCAACAGTCATGTGCCAATACAATATGTAAATCTGCCAGAATCACTATCTTGATATTTTCCGATTTGTCAGGAGACAAATGATGTCTCCAAAGAAACTACATGTGCAGACAATATGAAACTTTAGACTGCAGAAACGTTCACAAACCATTATCAAACTCATGTCACAGAAGTGGTAAAGGACATGTGTGACAATTGAATGGTATCCTTTTGTAAAGTTTTGGCCAGGGGTGGGTATTTATTTTTTAATTGATTTTCAAGGTTGGGCAGTCAAATTTTTTACTTTATAATGTTGGGTCAGCAAAATTTTTGCCACGAAAAACATTTCTCTTCGGTGTTACCCCCCACCATAAATAATGACCCGTCCCTTAGATTCAGGTTCAATTCTTGCCAGAGGGCCTAGAGTTGCATTTTTCAAAACTGCTCCTGCTTAGGTGTAAAATTGTACAAAAATACACAAATTACACCCGAAAATTTCATCTAAAAAAATACTGTACTTATTTAGTGACACTTTCATGGTTGGCCACTGCAAAGTTTTGTCAGGGAAATACGAGTGAAATTTAAACCTTTAAAATATGTCTATTATGCTCTGGTTGAAGCATATTTTGACTACTGCTGCCTTGGCGTATAGGAGGGGCAGTTAGTACCACACTTTCAAATAAGCTCCAAACACTCTAAAATAGAGCTGCCAAGGTGATATTAGGGTATAGAAATGGACAAGGTCAATCTGAAGCAGCCTTATATGATCTTCAATACGGACTAACTGACCTTAAAGCAACGTAGACTTGCTATGAAAATATGAAATGGCTTGGTGTATATAAATTGTTCATTATTTTGAAAACCCATTTGAAATAGCCTTTGCTGAAGAGGTCAGCGTGGGTAACTAAATATACCGCCTTTAATAAAAAATAAATAAAAGAAAATACAGCACATACTTGCGCAATTGGGTATAGTAGGATGCACGCATTTCTTCTTTTCACTACGACCTCCCGGGCACCCTATGTCGTTAATGTCCAGACATTTCCTGACTCGTCTAGATACCCCAGGACCACATGGAGAATTACACTTCGTCCACTCTCCCCAGGCACTCCAGTTTTCCACTGAAATATAAACGGAAATATACGAATCCCCATACACCCTTTTCATAAATGGCTGCCGATTAAAAATTCTTTTATGTGCATATAAATTGCCCAACTAGCCTTGTTTCTGGGTAAAAATTCCTTTGAAATCTTAACATGAGAACGAGGCTAGTTGGGCCAATTTATATGCACATAAAAGAATTTTTAATCGGCAGCATTTATGAAAAGGGTGTATTCGTTAAAAATCCATCAGTCAGCTAGGGTGGATCAGACCGAAAGGTAATCATTCATTTATTTATTAACTTTGCAACCTTTTCATACATTAACAAATAACAAATAGATATTAAATTTTAGAATATACACAAAGATAAAAAAAACATAAGGGTTGAATGCATCAGTGGTCATCAGTCAACAGGCCAAAAGTCCCACTACAAACACACATTTACACACTGATATATTTTGAACAGTGCATGAAAATTAATTAACCCATAATGGACATTGGCACTACAAAAAAATAGTTTGTCTCGTTCAAAAGAAACTCTTAAAATTATATTACCGATTTGTCATTTTTGGTTCTCGAATTTTAGATTAAAATTAATGAGCTGTACGAAGCTGTACGGGCATATTGGTCTAATTCTTGACCTCATTAACTATATGTTGTCAGGAGTTTGGTTAACCATATAAAATTACTCTAAAATGACCGATCCAAAATTGTTTGAAATGTTTACAATCAATTCTAAATTTCAGACAGCAACCATATTGATCGTTCATACTCTCAAGATAAAAATTTAGCGTGACCCCTCTCTTGACGTAACGTGCATGCATATTTTCAACCTATCTTTTATTGCCAATGTCCTTTTATTAAAAGAACAGCAAGTTAATTGGACTGCAGGATCGGAAATTTGGAAAGGTTGTGAGAATATAGACATGCAGCGAGCTGCTTTATCAAATATTGGGGGTGGGGGGTGCTCCCCTAGTGCCCCCCTATTCCCTACGCCCATGCTTCTTACCTGTAGTGCAAGGAACACATTTCCTTTTGCCTCGTTTCGATTTTCCAACTTGATATGCTACCCCTCCATTCTTTTCACAACAATCTGTAAACGTGTAACGACCTTTCATTCTCTTCTTGCAGGAATTGCTGTCTGATTTGTACGCCTTGAAGCATTTTACTTTTGGAACTCTTGTTCGTCTTCCTGTCAAAACATACCAAAATTTAGTCAATAACTATTTATTCACTGCAATCGTAAAACCACATCAGAAATTGCACAATTCTGCTATATTATTTAGCTTTCTATATTCTCAAAGACCCAAATCCCCGGGCAATTTCTCCTTGCAGTAAAACACGAAGCTCTAGGAAGATGTTCTGTGACTGGTTGATTACGACAATGACAAAAGACGGTAATTGGCTTACATAAACAAAAGGAATATTGTTCTTGCTTTGTTCTTTAGAAAATCCATTCTATAGATTATTCTTTTGTCATTATCATAATCAACCAATCACAGAACATCTTCCTAGAGCTTCGTGCTGACCCTCTCTTTGACAAGTATTTTCAGCTTTATTTGCAAGGAAACTTTGTTCAATTTGGACAAGGAAACTTTGTTCGTGCATATGTATACCGGGGCGCTAGGGACCAGAAAACTTGAACTATAAAAACCACTTATTGATTATGCATGCTCGCCCGCAAAGCCACAACCAATTGTCCAGGTCAGTTTTGTTCAACCCGGCCAATGAATGGGCAATAGTAGGGCTTATTATCCGATTGAGATAAGATATTTTTTGTGTGGTATCGCTGTGAAAAGCTATTATTGCATCTCGATACATCGACATGCTAATGGCATCTTGGAGGTGGCTCCCTACAGTTAGTACAGTTTAAATACGATTTATATAGATCAGACTTCATCCTCGCGACCTGCGCGTGGAATCGTGTTTACTGTTCGGCAAAAATATTGAAACAAGCCGTGGGAAGTTTTTTTGCGTTTTTATCTACAAAGAAAGCCCCATTTTTTCATTATAATCCTAATTTTTTCTGAATTCGAACAGTACGTATGTTATTAACTAGTTTAACCTATCTTTTAGTGTGTTTTTACGTATTTACGTTCAGTATTGTCTTTCATATTGCTCAAAATTTTCAACTTGTTGTTTTGCGAGCTGTCAAACTGAAATGATACTGTCTTCTATTAACTCTTGAACAGTAGTGAACTGTTGCCGCAACTTATATAAGTTCTGTCAATCAATTCAATTTACAGGTATCGTTTTATCTGCTAAATCAAATAAAACAGTTATGAGTTGTTTTATATGAAAAGTTAAACTTGTAGTTCGATGTTTTGAAAAGTTTTCACACCGATTTTAACAACAAAAACAAATGTAAACTAACACTGGATTTAATACAATGCCTATAATAGTGTTTTTATTAGTATTTTCAAGATTAATATTTTATTTTCATGTCAAACAAGTCAGAAATATCTGTTTTCTTATGTATTGTAAGCCAAAAAGTTGAAATCACTATAAATCACACGCTACAATTTACACGCATGCGCAGATCGTGCTCATGTCGAGTCGATTTTTTTTCATGCTGGCCACGCCGATTTTAGCGATGATTTTCTCGTGTTTTCTTCGGTGAAAGTTATCACCCAACAAAATTCCGTCCCAGAGATCGTTAATAAATAAACCTATGTGTTAGCCCTATGTGTAAGAATTAAGCGCGCATACTGTGACTTGCTTCAGCTGCCAAAAATCGAGAAGCGTTTGTTTTGACAGCAATTTGCGCAACAACTAGTTCCAGAAACTGTCAAAAGCGTGGGATATTATCGTGCTACGGCAGGAAGTTGTTCCTGAAATTACGCGTCAACTTCAGCTTAAAGGAAGTCGGATTAGATTGCTGGTTTCAGCTTGTTCAAAGCGCAAATTGAGACGTTTTATCTGGAAGATTGTCAAAAATGCGATAGCAGAGGTTTATTTATAATCTTGTAAATATTAAACACATGTCTACACGGCTTGTTTGCGCTGCGATAATCATTTTAACAAATGTTTGACGCATATACCATTAAAAGATTATCTTCTTAAATTAAGTTGTGTGTTCGGGAACTTACTAGAAATATTCTCTGTAGGACTAAAAGTTTTGTTTGGCAACGCAAAATGTGCTTTCATCATTCATGATAAATTAATCTAGTTATTTTGCCAGAGCCAGCTCGAAGTAGGAACATTTTTTGACCGTATGATCTGTAAAAAAAGTTGCGGTTTTGACTCAAATACCAATCTCCAACTAAAATCTGTCTTTTCTAGACATCTCTTGCCATTTAAAAGGACTATAGTATAAAGGAAAATTTATGAAATGAAAGACAAACGCCATAATATATGATAATACTTCACATTTGGTTCATCCTAGCTCGTTCCATGTGTATACAGGATAACCTTTTTTAAATTTTAATGAACTGTCATGATTTTAATGAACTGAACACGTATGTTTGCAATAAAAATTCAACTTTCAATTAAAATTGATAAAAATAATTTAAAGATTAGGTCTATATCAGCGTCACTATATATGGAATATCATTGCAATATATAGGTGATAGGAAGCGTTCGCTGAAAATATTATTGAATATCGCTTCATCAAATTTCATATTTCCTGAAAACTCGATGGATATTCAAACTGTTTTATAAAACACTTGAAAGCTTGCAGTTATCACAGCTAATTGTGTAAGATTGGAATGCAAAACTAGACTAATGTATTTGGATAGCAAGATAAAATCATATTCTATCAACATAATTTTGTGATGGTTAATTTGTGCACTGTTTACTTGTGTTTTCGTATAAATTACGCGACGGTTCAATAGAGATAGCTAAGACTAAGTCCTACGATGAAAAGCGCAACCACAATGAATAATATTTCATGAAGTTGAGACATACGGCTATTTTATGGCTTTGAAGTTTACCGGGTTTCCAGCTTCAGACTATAATAAAATTAGCGATATATTTCGTCTTGCAGTTATCTTTTAAACAACAAGCAAGATAAACGTCCCAAAATAGGTGCATACATATACATGAGATTTAAATCAAATGCATATGTGTGCTGTCCTCCTTGTTCAAATTATGCGATTTATCTTAATAAGAACGAAACGCGGATTGTTTTAGCTAAACTACAGGCAATTTGTCAAAGATTAGCAAGGGTTTAAATACAGCGGAAGTCATCAATGACAATGCATGAGGGAGTCAGAACTATCTGGTTTCAAACTAGAAAGTTTCAAAGGTATATGATTTAATTAATGAACAATGTCAATGACAAAACTAACGTCAGTGGTCCATGGTGGAGTTAATTAGTTAACTAGCTTGTACGTTTTATCCATTACTAGAAGGCAGAAGCTTAATAAACATTTTTTTAAATATATTTTTAGCAGAGGCTTTTCAGTCTTCTTTGCTAAATCCATACAAGCTCCGATAATTTTAAGATTTAATTTCCCAAACAGAATGCATCGTATTATATTTATATATTCTGTAAAACCAACAGTCTTGAAGTATTTTATCAAACACTGTAAATTTCAAAGAGATCAGAGATGAATCAACCCCCAAATGTACAGTGAAGGCGGTTGAAATTGGTTGAAATTAATTTTGGGAGAAAAAAAAGACCTAAGAAACACAACCATTTTTCGAATCAATTCTGCTATCGTAGCAAGGGTAATTTATAATACAGAGACGATATCGATAACATTATTTTGAACATCCGGCTGTCTGAAACGTCCTGGTATATATGAGATGATAATGATATTTGTAATCCGCACTTGAGGAATTAACAAGAGCTTGGAAGTATGTAGTGTTATATTTTTCAGGTAGTTCGATGTTAGACAGATTTAGGCAGTCTAATACGCAATTCTTCAATTATATATTTCATCATTACCTACAATAATGGAACACCACGTTTGCGGTTTGCCGTTTATACCAAGATTTTACGGAACCTGAGATCTGACAGTAACAAGATAAACAAGAAGCTTTAAATCAGATGCTTGTAGAATAACAATGCCAATCCCGGCAATCCGATTTCAGGTTTTTTAAAGATTTCCAAAACTCCTTTAAATCTTTTTTAACCTTGATAGACGCGCATTACCCGATTAGTAGAGAATTGCATGCATGCATGCATGCATGTATGAAGGAAGTCGATGTCAAGATAAACAAACAGCACAAAAGAAATGAACAATGGATATGAAACGAATGGACATGAAACGAACGAACATGACGCGAAAACTTTCAACCTCGTTTAGTTTCTGTTCATGATGGAAAAAATAACCAAAATGTGACTCGAGATTTGACTTTCGTGTAGACAACACTAGAATTTCAAGCCGTGATAAATAGTTTCACAAATAGTTCTAGCATCGTCTTATTATTTTGATAATGAAACTGTACCAAATTCATACGATATAGTTAATAACACTAAAGATTTTCATATAGGCTACAATCCGTATATTTCAACGAGTAGATTTGGCAGCCGTCCGCGCGTCTCTCGCGGGCACAGTCAAAAATGTGAAACGCGTACGCCAGACGCGCAAACAACTGAAATCGAGCTGGATTGCTTTTCACCGATGTAAATATTTTCTCAAGATGTTCATCATTTTGCGCATTTTGACGCAGTTTATGATAATCTGGACAGCCCGGGAAAATGCTTGATTTCTATTTAAAAGTGTTGCGCCAAGGTTTCCGTTTAATTACATACCCTGGGCTGACAACATAGATTTCGGACGGAATATGTTATACAATTTTACATGTTGGGGCAGTTCGGATCGATATCGGGCGAACACCGGCTTATTTCACTATGGTAAATAGTTTTATTATATAAACAGTAAAGCGTACCTGTAGTTAAACTTGGATTTAAACACACAACAGCAAAGAAGAACAGGAGACTTGCTACGAACAGCGAATCCATGATTATTCTGACGCGAACTTGTTGACAAGATGCTTTAAAACTAGGTGATTAGGAAACTCAAGCTCCACGGGATACCAGCTGAGACGAACTGATATCCCACTGTCATCATGGCAGGATGTGTATCTATTGCCACGGTGTGACTGCTACCTGAAATATACACGGCTTAGGTTTCGGGCTAAAGGGCATGCACACCGCAGATGCCAAATTCGCTGTTTTGCGTTAAAACTGTGGTCTCTTTGTGGCTTTTGTATATTAGAATAGACAGATTCAGAAAAGACGACAACCTAATGCGAAGAAAACACAACGACGGTCTTAGTCTCAGTTAGCTCAAGACTGAGAGCTAAAGAACTTGATTGCTTAACCTTTCATGATTGAAGCTTTTTAAAATAACCTTACAAACGGCTAGGTTTGCGGGGGGAAACAATCCGGTGTCTGCTATGAGACAGATTTTATCCAACTCCTCCAACGACGCAACAAACATTCACATTGCTGATTGCTCCAAAGTCAAAGACGTAAAAATCTTAACTTAAACTGTCTGTACCAGTGTTGGTAGTACCAATGTGAAAATGCTGTGCTGAGTGGTTATATTACTACCTTAAAAAATAATAAATAATAAGCAGAAACTCGACGTTTCGAGCGAAGGCCCTTCGTCAAGAAACGTCGAGTTTCTGCTTATTTTTTAAGGTAGTAATATAACCACTCAGCATAGTAAAAATCTTAAGCCTGGTACCATCCTATATGGTCGTAACGGTCGTAGAGACTAGAGATTGAGTGACGATATTTCTCATGAGCCGAAATACAACATTGTAGAATTGAAAATGCGCGGAGTGATTATTACTAGAAAATACTTATGATTTATATGTGGTTTGCATGCAGGTATAAATGATTATAAACTCTGTCCGTTGAGAAAGATCGTGACTCTATTTTTACGACCATTTGGAAACCAGGTTTAAATCAGTCTACTATTAGTGGTATGAATCAGTTTCGCACCAGTTTTAATGGTGTAATACTTCCATTCACCATTAACAATGGGCTCAATAAAATATAAGCTGTTTTCGGATTTTAATTCCCCCTCAGCACTCAGGGCAAAACACCACTAGTGACAGGTCTTCTCCGGTTTCGTCCTGGGCCGAAATAGGATGCCTTTATCACCGAAAACGTCCGAAAATTATGGGGGCGGTGCTAATCGAAATTGGCCGACATTATCTGGGTTTATTGATAGATGAATAGAATGTATATACCGAAGGAACGCATTCCTAAACAAACGCGCGGAAATACAAAGGCAATCTTAAAACGAATGTTCTCGTTTTCTCCCGTACAACTCTGGAGTTATCTCTACAATTGCGCATTTGCGCGCATGAGCACATGTAGTAAATGTGTTGTGCGTGCATCGTTTACATAAGGTGTCAATGTTTGATCAGTAATTTTCCACAACAACACGCGCGCAATGCCACACATCAAGAAATTTTATGTCATCTCAATCTATTTCATAATTATCTTTTATTCCTCATTCAATGGGCAGGGCAAAAACCTGGTCGTACGATTGCTTGCAATTTAAGTGAAAAAGATGATGAGGCAAACAAGAAGACACTGTTTTAATTCCAGCCCAAGATTGAGAGCTAAACGGTCGTAAAGATTGATAGATACAGCATTTTAAAACTGAAAATACGCGAATGATTATAATTAGAGATTATTTATGATTTATATGTGGTTTACAGTTAAAAACTATTATAAACTGGCCGTTGAGAAAGATGCTACTGTAAGTTCGGGAAAACTGCAATCCGGTACGGTCTGCTATGAGACAATCAGACAGATTTAGTGTGTATATAACTCTTCCAAAGTCGAAACAAGCATTCACGTCGCTCCAACGGCAATGGACGTGAACACTATAGGATTAGCAGCTTTCCGTACCTATCCGATACGGAATGTACAACATTCACTAGAAGCTGAACATCTCTCCGTTGCATGCAATTGCAATAATTCCTCTGAAAATAGCGTTCCTAAAAGGTACGCCGGATGGGTGCGTTTTTAAGTCGCTACGTAAAGCTATCTCGGTATTCTAGTACAGAGACTGAGTAAATGTAGCCTTTGGTTTAACGTAGTATTTGACTTAACGTTGTTGAATTAGTCTTCAGGATACCCTGGGATCACAAATTACTAGTCAAACTTATCTATCTTGTTTTGCATGGAGAATTTCTTGGTTTCCAAGCGCGTCTATCAGCTCACGTAATGTTTTCTGAATCAATCTATTGTCTCGGAGTACGCAAAGTGTTACTGAATATTGGATAAGATTCGTATCATTATAGGATAGTATCCAGTGGTCTATATTATGAAAAGGATCTCAGGTTACAAAATATGGAGACATAGCACGTCTAGATGACCTTATAACCTGTTAGTTCCCATTTCTCTCCATCAGTACGTGTTTATATCCCGGCTGAGCCCATGCAGGTTTCCACACGCAAATAAATTGATTTTTTACATTTCCTTTTCAGCTCTTTTCTTCGAAAACAACAATAGGTTGTTGAATCCAATATTTCTCTCAAACAATTCAATCATCACTCCTTGTCGTATATAGAACATTTGCTCAAAAAACAATTGTTGTCCGAACGTTGACTCGTTTGATTAGTCAATATATTTCTTTAATTTGCTTAAAATATAAACTAGTACAAAAAATATTTAATGACATTTCTAATGTTGCCATAAATGAAACACAAATAATGATTAAACAGTTCAATATTTTGCCATGTGCATATTTGATTATTTCAACCGACATGTTAATGTTATCATTGTCCATTGAACTGTATGTTATCCCGATGCTAACTAAAACGTCATTTAAATCAGTGCTGATCGAATTGTCTGACTGGTTGTAATGTTTCACGCAAGAATACCGTAATTAACCCTGTTTAAAAGGAATGAATTTCCCTACCAAAGTTTTGTTTGGATTCATAGTTACGCGTTCGTAAAATCAATAATTCATAGTTACGCGTTCGTTTTTGTTAGAAACGCTTACGCGCGCGGGTGGCTGTCTGCTTTGCAGGCTAGTTTTACGACATATTTGCGACTGTTCATGTTTGGATGCCAACGACGGATTAGTCAAAGCGAAATGGGAAGCTTCATGTAAGCAAGAATATAAATGTTGGCTCAATTTTCAAAATGGCCGCCGTCAGAAGAGCGGAAATATTTAAATATTTATGATATAAACACGAATTTATTACAAAAGTTAATAGACGAGTGATGAGTAATACATTTCGTAAGTAAGTATACGCTTATAAACATTCCTTTAATTAGACCAAGTAAAAATAATACCGTAATTTAATAGTAAACGTGAATTTGACGTTTTGCCGCTTTTGCGTGGCAATTTGAATATGGACGTCGCTCTTTAACCGTTAAAGTATAAAGCATAATTTTTTGATGTACTTATACATGGGGGTGACAGGGGTGGAGGGGGATATATATATATATATATATATATATATATATATATATATATATATATATATATATATATATATATATATATATATATATATATATATATATATATATATATGGCTTTTAGCCAATCAGTGTTCAAAATTTACAAATGCTATATTATAATACTAAATACTGTATTGTAATTGTCCTCACTCGTCTGAGCTAGTGAGCTGTTGGAATCCCTGTCACTGTGTTATTAAATACCTGTCCAATTATAAACCCATGGGCTTATACATGGAGGGGACTTGGTTAATAGCCTTTTCACTCATGGTCAGGCCGGGACTTTCCTGTTTACCTTAATCGACAATTTTTTAAATTTTATTATGTACCTGTGAGTTTATTAAACGAATTTGCATTTTAAGTATTTTTTGGTTTAAATTTCTTTTTATAATAGTTTGAAAACCATTTGAATCTTTGGTTTGTACCACAGAATACTACACAGAAGTCCATCTCCATTGTTTTTTTTGCGTAAGCGCTATTCGTCATGATTCGTCACTCAGCAAGTACTGTAATATATTTTAGACTGCTCAATTAGATGTATTATATTCCGTAGTAAGACTTTCTCATAATATCAATTCGAATCTAGACTCTAGTTCATTAGTTCGATTCTTCAACGTAAAAATCCCCAAAACAACAACCTATTGTCTTATAGTCCACGCCCCTATGACGCGTACGTAATGCCCTATTTATAACTGTCTATTAATAAACAATATCTCACACTCCCCCCTTGACCAGTCACAACTGGTCAATCATGGACTGTCTTTTCAAGTCTGCGTTTATTGCCGCTATTCTTCTTTGTCTTGTTGGTTTTTCTTCGTTCTGAATGTCTGCATCTTGTTTTGACTCCTTACTGTCCTCGTTTTTTCTTTCTTCCTTGATCTCTAATGGCACAAGTTTTTGAATTGGACGTCGTAATACGATTGGTTTCCCTTTCTTATTCAACGCTCGTAACTTTACACCTCGTACTTCACCGTCTTTACTTTTAAGCAAAGCTTCAACTCTACCGATCTTCCATTGACTCCTAGGTAGACCTTCTCCTTGCACAAGAACTACTTCCCCAACTTCTACTTCCCGAACCGTATTGTTGGTATATGTAATATTTCGATGAAATTCCCGTAGATCAGCTAAGTACTCCTTGTTCCATCTCTTCCAGAAGTGCTGCAACAATTGACTCAAGTATCGTTGTCTCCGTACAATTGCATTACTATCTTCCTCACTGTCACTAAATTCCTCTGGATCTGGTAATGTTGATATCCGCCTTCCGATTACGAGATGTGATGGTGTCAATGGTTCTCCATCAGACAATTCCGAATATACGTAAGTCAATGGGCGAGAATTGAGTGATCCCTCAACTTCTGTCAACACCGTGGTTAACTCTTCAAATGTTAATCTCGCATTTCCGAGTATTTTACGTTGACTCCTCTTAACTAACTGTACCATACGTTCATAGTATCCACCCCACCATGGGGCACGTTCCAATATGAAGTTCCATTTGATCCTAACAGTTGTCAAGAACTCTTCCAGTTTCTTATCTTTGAACAATTCCGCAAGTTCCTTATCTGCCTTTTTAAAGGTCTTAGCGTTATCCGATGTAATGGATACTGGAGTTCCTCTCCTTGCTATAAAACGTCTTAAACATCGAATAAAAGCTGTAGTTGATAAGTCATGTACTAGTTCCAAATGTAGAGCTCTTGAGGTAGATATATATGTCTTCTTCATCTGCTTTTTAGGGTCGCTAGTTTTTACAAACAAAGGTCCAGCAAAATCGACCCCCACATGTGTAAAGGCTGCTGTTTCCTTGACTCTATGTTCTGGTAAACTGGCTTGTTTAACCGGTTTAAATGGTACACTATGGACTTTCCTACACTTTACACATCGGTTAAGAATGTATCTCACCAATTGACGACCTTTTGGAATCCAATATTTACTCCTTAACTCTGTTAGTGTCTCTTTTATTCCTCCATGCTTGACTTTCTTGTGACAGGACTCCACGATCAATTGAGAAATGCTGTGATCTCTCGGCAAGAGAATTGGGCTCCTTGTTTCCACGTCAGTAGATGCATTTTCCATTCTTCCTTTACATCTGATAATGTGATCTTTATCGGCATAAAGTCCGAGTTGGTTGGTCAGATCTTGGTAATTCTTCTGTTTCTTCACATGTTCCTGTATTTCTCTGATCCAAATTTTCTCTGCATCATCAATTTCCTCAATAGTGAGTGTACTTGGCTTTAACAATGGATCAATTTTACCACAGGCTTTCTTCGTTTTGAGATTTCTAATGAATCTCTTAACCCACGCTGTAACACGAAACAACTTGGTTACGCTACTGTAAGACTTGTGGTCTATTATCTCTGAGATTTTTGTTGAACCGACTGTTTCTGGTGGATGTGTTTCACTAACATTTGTCACATTAACCACTGTGGTATTCCCCTTGGTAGGTAATTTAACGCGACATTCTTTCATGCACTCTTCGGAGAGTTCTACATCACTTTGTGCAAACTCACGATTTGGGTATGCAGAGGGATCAAGTGTTAACCATTGCGGGCCTTTCCACCATAAATCATTTTGTGCTAGTTCTGAGGCCTTCTGTCCACGAGAACCAATATCCGCTGGGTTTTCTAAACCTGGGCAAAATCTCCAAGTTTCTGAATCAGTTAATCGTAGAATTTCGTCGATTCTGTTTTGTACAAATTGTTTATAATCCTTCTTACCCTTAATCCAGTGAAGGACAGTGGAGCTGTCCGTCCAACAAGTGGTCTCCGTGATGTTAAAGATTTTGCTTAGAGTCTCTTTAACTGACATGAGACGTGCTAATATCAATGCTGCTATTAACTCAAGTCGAGGGATAGACATTGGTGCTAATGGGGTGACTCTACTTTTCGAGGCAACAAGATTTGTTGTGCGGCCACTGTCTGTTTCCATGCATATATAAATGACAGCACAACAAGCTTTTTGGGAAGCATCTCCAAATCCGTGAAGAGTCACACTTTCAGGATGCCTCTCCTCTGCCAAAAAGTAATATCTAGGTACAACTATAGAACTCACCGTCTCTAAATCATCAATCCATTTCTCGAGCACCTTCTGATTGGATTCTGATATGACTGCATCCCATTCATACTTAGCTGCACACAATTCTTGTAGAAGCATTCTCAGCAAGACAGTAACTGGCGAGAGAAGTCCGAGTGGATCAAACAGTTTTGCTGCTATCTTTAAAACATTCCGTTTTGACGGCTCTAAATTTCTTGCAAATTGAACAACTTTTGTTAACTTTAAAACAAAAGTATCACTGTCAGTATCCCAATTCATCCCAAGTACCTTATGTTCCTTCGGGGTTTCTATTTCTTCCAGCCCGCCAATCGACTCTTTAGCATATGAACTTTCACCGGTGTTGTTCAAATGCTCTGTGGTTAGTGACTTTAATACTTCCTCATCATTCTGAATCTGAGCCATCAATACTGGACTATTGGTAGCCCATTTCCGCAGATTAAAATTGCCCGCTGCGAAACAAGATTTCATCTGTCGATACATTATATATGCATCATCCGTGGATTCTCCTCCTCCTGACCAATCATCAACGTAAAGCTCAGAAAGAATCCTTTCTGCAAAGCTAGGGTCATCATAATAGTAATTCGTAATGTGGTGACGTAATGTTGCGTTCAGGAGAAATGGAGAGCACTTCATGCCAAAAATAACCCTACAGAAGCGGTAGACTTCAACATATGGATTTTCCTTGTTTATGTCATCGATCCACAAGAAACGCATCATGTCCTTTTGTTCCTCATCAATAGCAATATTGAGAAATGCCTTCTCAATATCTGCAACCATTCCAATTCTTCGTCCTCGAAAACCCAAAAGAACCTTTAGAATATCTGTAGCCAGAGATGGTCCAGTGTGAACGCAATCATTCAGAGATGGGCACTTTGGTTTAACTTTCGCACTGGCATCGTAAACAACTCGCACCTTTGTAGTGGTTGCATCTTTTCATACCACGGCTTGGTGTGGGAGATAGTGTGTAGTGCCTGGTACTAAGTCTTCATTTTGATCTTCAACCTTTTCAACAATTCCTTGACTTAATTGTTCTTTAAATATCTGGTTGTATTCCTCAAATAGACTGGGTTCTTGCCTTAAACGTTTCACTTGCGAGTCTAATCGTGCTAGACTTAAATCATAATTGTCCGGTAAAATATCATGTTTTTCTTTCAAGGGTAATTTAACGTGATATCTACCCTTCTCAAAAGATACGTTTCTTTCAAATGACTCATGCACCGTCTCTTTGTCTGTTATACCAATTGACTCTAAATCCCACAGACGATGTAATAACTCCTCAGGTTGTTTTTCATTCTCCACACTTGGCAATTCGGCTGCTACTCTCAACACATGAGTTGAAACAAAGTTCACAGAAGACAGAGTAGTTTTCTTTCTTGATGGCATTGGGCCTGACAAAACCCATCCCAGGATTGTTTCGCTTGCGATTGGACTATTGGCATTCTCCCCCCGTCTTATCTTGCCAGTGAAAAATTTACCGATTTGATCAGCTCCAATTAATAAATCTATCTCTGCTACACCGTCCCCTTCATTATTATCAGCTAAGTTTAAGTCACTCAAATGTTTGTACTCTACTTGTGCTCGGTCAATTTCTTGATTTCCTAGCGGTGCACAAATCACTGGCACGACAAATGCTTCTACTTGTGTTCTAGTTCTACCAGTAATGTCCCCAACTGCTAAGTTCACTGTCTCACAAGAAGCAGTTAGTTCAGTTTCGCATTCTCCGAATGTTTTTATTCGTAAAGACTCTGTACTTCCTGTGGGCAATTGCAACTTATTTCGCACTCGTTGCGTTAAATAACTTCTCTGGCTGCCCGAATCAAAAATAACTCTTACCTCAGTGGTCAACTTCTTGTTTCCAACGCCAACTTTCGCCTTGGCTGTTTGTAATAAGACTGAATCTTGTAAACATGCGTGATAATTTCTGGTCTCTTTCGTGTTTCCTGTGTCTTTCGTGTCCCTTGATTGTGTTGTTTGTTCTTTAGCCAGACTATCTTGTACATTTCCTAATTGCTGTCTGGAATTTGATTCTTGTCTCGTTGCTAAGGACTGTCTCGAATTTGTTGCTAAGGACTGTCTCGAATTATTATTACACAGACTAACATGATGCTTTCCCGAGCAATATTTGCACATATACCTTGATTCGCAATCCCGAGCAATATGATTTCGTTTGAGACACAAAAAACATCGTCCTTGCTTTCGTAAGATCTGTTTTCTTGCTTCGATATCCGTAACAACAAAACAACTAGCTGACGTATGTTCTTTTTGACAAAACGAACAGTTAATAGTTGTCTTACCCGTCATTTATAGCGCTGCTGCCGTAAATGGCGTGTTCGAATATTTTCTCCCTCCTCGTTGTTCGTTGAAATTTCGACCGTCTCTAAAGGATAAAGCTTGAATTCCTTCGCATCTTTCCCGGTTTTCCAATTCCTCGCGAAAATT